GAGGAGGGGGTTAAGGTGAAGAGAGAGAGAGGAGGGTAAGGTGAAGAGAGGGGAGGAGGATTGATATTTACTCACAGTTTCTGTGGTCCCTGGAGTCACAGTCATTAAAGGTTTTGTATTTCTTGTTGCTGTAGCATTACTTGATGTTTGAGAAAATGTGTTTGCATTGTTGAGCCAACTTGGAACAAATTCAGCTACATCTGCAGACAGTTTCCATGAGGGGCTTGGTGAAACATTTGTCTGTTGAGAATGAACAACAGACTGCTGTCTTGGCACAAAAGGCGTCACATCTGGTGACAATGACATGGTACCTGGTGATGTAAAATATAGAACTATGGTATAGTTGAAATATATAACTATGGTTACTATGCTATATAATACCAACACTTTACTGTGTCATTTCAGACTTTTCAGTTCCATATTCGAGGTCTGACTGTATATATTATTTATTCATAGCACAGTGGTTGGTGCTATAGTTTGTGTTCATGTATTGTGCACCTGAGATCTCAGGCACACCTATTCTGTGTTTCTCGGGTGCACAATCATGTCCAAACTTTCCATGCTGGACTTAGTGTGCATGTACCACCTCTATATACAGTTGTCGGATTATAATTTCACCTCAGTCCTATGTGAGAGCTTGCAGGGTCAATGAGTTAATATTAAAGGTTAATTAATGAGTTAATAATTGATCAGACATTCACATTAATATCACTTGCTTATTATAACCTATTAAGTTGCATAATTGTACTCTAATACACCTGTGCCAACGTAGGTGAGTTGTGTACTTGATTTCCACAGTACAACTCAAGTTGTAAGCAGGTTGCATGCGACGACAGTCTTAGGCGAAAGTTGCGTAGTGTGAATCGGCCTTTAATACTCATCAAATTCATCAATTAGGATTAACACTGGAATCTCAATGGATTAATACTACCACTAAATACTTACCTTCATTTGGAAATCATCCTTTAACCTGCCATCGCCCCTAGATTGAAATAAACATAATTTCTTCCAATTTTGTTGACAGTGTGATCAAAACTGTTTGTGTTTTTATGACAAACTAACAAACACTTCATGTAAGGATGACAAAACTCTACTCTAACATAAATATTCATGCTGGGTTGTATTCCTGTTTCCTTCGATCACCAAATGAGGCAAATCTCGCCGCAAGTGCCAAGTGGTGGTTTGAATTATATCAAGATTATTGAAATATGAACTGTGATTGCTTCGCAACGATAACGTAAAGACGACAGTCATTGAAATCATGCCTGATCCAACATTCGCGACTTCTTTACTGACCGAGGAATGTCATCACTCGGTGGTGAATTTAGGCGAAGGTGAAATTAAAACAATTGAGAGTTTTAAAGCGTATTTGGCGAAACAAGTGAACCTTATTGAACAGTATTTACACGCTCTTCAAAAGTTGAATTCGTCCAGCGATATTGCTAAATTTGGCCTCGATGTAGACAGTCCGTTTGTCAAGGTAAATGTGTTCCTGAAATCTAAGAAGTATACAGTATTTGTCGTCTTGTCATGTCTGTTTATATACTAAATTGCTCCTAATTTGATCAACAGTCAAATTTGAAAGTGCAACAGTACCTACTGGATGCACGTTTCCTGGTGAAAAACAAGTTTAATTTTTGTCTTCTTATCAAAGAGATAAATTATAGCAATTTTATGCCTCACAGTGGGGGTTTTCTTGTGAAAATGTTTGAGCAAATATTTTGACCAGAAGGTGCTGGAATTTTAGTTTCGTTTATAGCAAATTGAATACTTGATGGCAATTTATTCACTTCATGATTTTTTAATATCAGTTTAGCTTTATTTGCTACATTTTGAAATAGAATTTGTGTATTTGATCTGTGGTATATGTATGAAACAGTATATGTTCGTATATGTTGTTTATACATTAATTAATAAGCATATAGCAGCTTATGTAAATAGTTTTCTTTTCAATTGGCCAATCAGTGGACGGTATTGGTTCAGGTATCATGTTTGTCATGTATGTGGTCATGCCCCTTAATTTGCTTTGTAATATGAGGAAGGGAGAGAGAGGATACAGTACCTTTTATAGGTAAATAATTAACCTAACACTTTCCCTTGGCATATAAAAATGCATGATTAATATGTGGCCGGGAAATACCCCCAGTTGAAAACAGTCATCTTTGTCTGGATTTTGATCTATTCTAAAAGACCACACGAGTCAGAACACGAGTGAACACGAGTGAACACAAGACAACACGAGTGAACACGAGTGAACACGAGTCAGAACACGAGTGAACACGAGACAACACGAGTGAACACGAGTCAAAAAATTGTGAACACGAGTGAACACGAGTCAAAAACTGACGAACACGAGTGAACACGAGTCAAAAATGACGAACACGAGTGAACACGAGTCAAAAATGACGAACACGAGTGAACACGTGTCAAAAACTGACGAACACGAGTGAACACGAGTCAAAACTGACGAACACGAGTGAACACGAGTCAAAAATGACGAACACGAGTGAACACGAGTCAAAAATGACGAACACGAGTGAACACGAGTCAAAAACTGACGAACACGAGTCAAAAATGACGAACACGAGTCAAAAACGCATTCTTAAAGAGGCTCCCTACAGTTTTAAGCCCGCGTGATGAAGATCTGTACTGTGTAATTGCACGCGGGTTTCTTGGCGGCCCACAGGATGTTGGATTAATAATTATTAATAACAATTATTCGCCGAAGGCGAGGTGATTATCGGTGAATAAAAACCGAGACGAAGTCGAGGTTTTTATTCACGATAATCACCGAGCCTGAGGTGAATAATTGTTTTAGTATAATTTCATAGGTGAATATTTAGAAAAAAATTTTAAAATACACATTTCTTCGTCATTTAATTGACAAAACGGCTTCGGCCGCCATTTTGAGAATCGCTTAGGTGATTATCGCGTAATAATCACGTACCTCAACAGCAGCCAATCAGCGTGGAGAATTTTGAATAATCACCTATGTAATTATACTAATAATAATCAAAATCATAACGAAAACTTTATTCAATTTTAATAATAATAATAAGACTTATAATTATTATAATTATTATAATTATATTAGAATTAATTATAATTATATAATATATTAATTATTACAACAATTATTATTTAGTAATAATTATTAGTAATTAATTATAATAATTATTATTAATTAATTATTAATAATTATTATTAATTTTTATTAATTAATAATAATATAATATGTAAGTATATAATAAGATGAAGATGATGGTCCATAAGATGAAGTTTTGGTTTTGTTTGTCGTTGCTGACCAAAGTAATGCGGAGTCTTTGACGGTTCACCGTTCACATGATCGCATCTTGCCACATGGAAAGTTGGAAACGGCGATATATATTGATATATATATATATATTTTTATATATATATATATATATATATATATATATATATATATATATATATATATATATATATATATATATATATATATATATATATTATATAATATATATATATATATTATATATAATATATCTAATATATAATATATCAATATATAATATATCAATATATAATATATATATATATATATATATATATACTAATTATAATCTTAAAATTTTATTAATCGCTACACAGTGTTTCACGCTTTCAAAGCGATCTTCAGGCGATACTACTCTAAATAGTTTGCTTGCGCCATTCATTCAACGGTCCGCTGACGCGATTGCATAATGCGCGCGTACGTTTAAAATTCCGCGCGCTAAATGAGTTTCTGTGGCGGCACTTTGAAAATAGTTCTGTTCGTTTGTTCAACGTCCTATCTTTGTGAGATTTAATTATTTAAAACTTCTCCTCTAAGAATTTGCACCTGCTGTATAGGCTGATGCATGCGACAAAACCGACCACTTTATTGTATACGGTCGGTTACTTTGTTTTAGCTTCCATGCGTACTTAGAAAGTTCGGTTTCGTTTGAATAGCGAGGTGAGTTGATGGATTTCTTGTGGTTGGCGTATCTTGCTTTAAACCTCCCTGCTGTCATACCAATATACTCTTTCGTTTCACCGACGTCTGTTGTTGTAATCTCAGCCTTATATACGATGCTTTTCGTAAGACAATTACCATCGAGAGGGCATTCGTCCAAACGAGCAGAACTATTTTCAAAGTGCCGCCACAGAAACTCATTTAGCGCGCGGAATTTTAAACGCACGCGCGCATGATGCAATCGCGTCAGCGGACCGTTGAATGAATGGCGCAAGCAAACTATTTAGAGTAGTATCGCCTGAAGATCGCTTTGAAAGCGTGAAACACTGTGTAGCGATTAATAATATTTTAAGATTATAATTAGTATATTTTGCTCTATCAATTAAATTTGTTATTGAGCACTCTTTTTGTGCAACGGACAACGATTTATTACTGTATATATATATATATATATATATATATATATATATATATATATATATATATATATATATATATATATATATATATATATATATATATATATAATTTGTTATCTTAAAATGTTTCAATTTCTCGCTACTTTAAGTTTCATGCCACTATTTGTGGCAATCTTCAGGCGATTATATATATATATATATATATATATATATATATATATATATATATATATATATATATATATATATATATATATATATATATATATATATATATATATATATATATATATTTATTTATTTTAGCTTCGCCTATAATTACACAATCAAACAACACGTACACACAACCATTTCTGTCCAACCCGAAAACGAGCAAACTTCAGCGCCCCTGTCTATGTTTCAACATGATAGTAAAACAAAAACATACACCCTTGACCGCTAACCTAGGACGGTTTAATTTACAATTATATTCATTTTAGAATAGCTTGATTTTTATGAGCCCAACATGACTTGGCATAGACCTAGACAAAACATATCGAAACGCAGCAAATACGCCCAGCCTCCACGTTTCAAGGTTGGACAAAAAGGTGACAACAACAAAAAGGCGGGGTCACCACAACAGCTTAAAACCAATTACTGTGGGCCCTTGGATACAGAAAACACACAACTAATATATAAATTGAAACTGATAATTGATAGTATACATGTACTAATAGCAACACGTTAATGGTTGCACGAGTTTTCGTGATGTGTTGCATTTTAAGCAGACTGTTCTCCACGTTCTGGCATCGTCTACATCATAGGATGTCTTGGCAGCGTTGTGGTAGTAGTCCAGCAACAATGTTCTAAATCGTACCAGTGAGAGATCTTTTTGCCTTAGATTTTGGAAGAGAGCAGGTTGGTGTCAACCGAGGTTCTAGTGAGCCTTGATGGGATAATTGGCTGCGGAAGGATTTCGTTCGAGACAGTTATAATGTTGTTTACAGCTTTAAAGAAAAACATAATGTCAAGGAACTCGTGCCAGTAGGTTATTGGTAGTAAGTCTAAGGAGATCAGTCTGTCTTTGTACGTTTCTCCGCACACGTATGGTAATTTCAAAATGAACTTTGTAGCTCGTCGTTGGATGCGTTCTGTCCTCGTAATTAAGTCGATCGATTGTGGTGACCAGACTTGAGTGGCGTAACCTAGCGTTGAGCGAACAATTGATAGGTACAGTGTGCGGCGTATCTTAACATTTGTAATTTCCGTTGCAGCCCTACGCAGGAAACCAAGCATTTTGTTTGCCTTCGCACAGCGATCGAGGGTATGGTAAGACCAGTTTAACGTGTCCGTAATCCATATACCTAAATCTTTCTCTTTTTCGGTGACCACCAGGGACTTGTTATTGATCTTATATTCGTATTTGATAGGATTCTTTTTCCTTGTTACACGCTGACATTTGCATTTGTCTTGGTTGAAGACAAGGCCAGAAGATGTTGACCAGTTCTCCAAACTACTCAGGTCACTTTGTAAGGAGATGGCATCGGAAGTAGAGTCAACTTTCTTAAATAGTTTCGTGTCATCGGCGAAGGAGGCGATCTTGGAGTGCTTTACTGTATCCGGCAGGTCGTTCGCGTACAGCAGAAACAGTATGGGACCTAATATTGAACCCTGTGGAACTCCTGACAGGACAGGTCTTGCGGAGGATGTAGCTCCTAGCACAGTCACACGTTGCTTGCGATTTATCAGATATGACTCAAACCAGCGAAGGAGTTTACCAGAGATGCCATAGACGTTCCTTAATTTGCTTATCAGATATTTATGGTGGACTTTGTCGAATGCCTTGGACATGTCCATGTAGACTACATCAGTTTGCTTGCCACCGTCCAGAAGTGAACCAATATAGTCAAGAACCTCTAATAGCTGAGTTGTACACGACTTTCCGGGAATAAAACCATGTTGGCTATCATTGATTAATTGCAGCAAATGATCACGTATATTTCTCAGGACACAACGTTCTAGTACTTTCGATATTATGGAAAGAAGGGAGATAGGTCTATAGTTCTCTACTTGGCTCTTTTCGCCTTTTTTGTGTACCGGAACAATGTTTGCTAATTTCCATTCATCAGGTATTTCGCCACAGCTTAACGACTTGTTGAATATTTGGGTGAGGGAAGGTGCAATCTGCCACGCAGTTTCTTTCAAAAGTCGAGATGGTATTCCGTCAGGTCCAGTAGCCTTGGTGGTGTCTAGCGCTAAGAGTGTTCTTGCGACTTCTTCTATTGTTAGTTGGAGGTCTGACTGTCCTGACGTTGAAGGTGGAGATGATGGTGGAGAGGAACGTTCATCCAGGTTATCATGATCAGTGTTGAACACTGATGTGAAGTAGCGATTGAATAGATTGGCAATAGCAGTAGGAGTAGACACATCATAAGTTTGTGATGATTCAGGTTCAGCGGCATTTCTCATTGACATAATATCTGGAACACTTGATTGTTTATTGTTCAGCTTGAAGATCGACCAAAATCGCTTTGGGTTTGTTTGGAAGATGCCATCAAGAGAATTGTAAAATCTTTCACGACTTTCACGGACCATTTTTTTAACTTTGATTCGTAGCTCTTTAAATTTAGCAAGAAGGACGTCAGATGGAGATGATCTTAACTTCCGTCGCACCGCTTCTTTCTTCCTTATCTCGTGAATAATGCTTCCATTAATCCAAGGGGGAGAATTTCTACCTTTGATCTTCTTGGTTGGGATGTAATTTCTCACCACGCTAAGGAATGTGTTTTTCCATTGTTCCCAACAGTCATTAACATTTTCTCCTGAATCGATTATGTTCGAAAAATCAGTCATCGCTAAGGCTGAACGTAGTCCGTCCATATTCCCTCTACGGTAATCAAAAACAGTTCTGTTCAGTTTAGGAGCTGCTTTTATGGACGTTTTCAAATTGAAAAGGATTGTGTCGTGATCGGTAAACAAACCACTGTCCATTGGCTTAAGTTTTGTAATGTTCTCAATCTGATCTGGTAGGCTAGTGATAATTAGGTCTAAGATGTTGTTTCCTCGTGTGGGCAAGGTGTTGACCTGAGTTAGGAAGAAATCATTCAATTGTTCCGTGAACATAATGTCATCACCGGATGAAGTGGCAGATGGATATTGCCAATGGAGTTTGGGAAAATTAAAGTCTCCACAAATTATTACGTTGGTGTAGCGTGAAGAAACTTCTGCTAGGAACGAGTTAAATTTTTCCAACCAAGATTGATCCGCGTTGGGTGGCCTGTAGCAACAACAGATGACGTATTTCAGATTTGAGGTTGTGACAAGTTCTGTTGATACAACTTCAATATCGGTTTCGATGTCTACATCGCGTGAGGAAATGAATGAACTTGATTTAACTGCCACCATTACGCCGCCACCAGTGCGCATTTCCCGATCTTTTCTGTAGATAGCGTAATCGTCATGGAGAATTTCAGTGTTCGCAACATCTTTTGTGAGCCAGGTTTCCGTTACCCAGACAAGATCCGCGGCCTCAGAGTAAACAAGCTCTTGAAAACGGGAGAGATGACAAAACTTTTTCCCGTCTAAAACATGCTGGCTTTTTAAGCTACGGGCGTTCAGGACAAGACATGTGGTGGGGAGTCCTTTCGATTTCCGGTTCTTTGGTTCATGCTGTGACTCGGAACTGAACGATATAGTTCTTCTACAAGGGCCTGGATTAGTGGCGATATCTCCAGCAAGGAGGATACACAGAAGTAGATGTAAATTCTTATGTTTTATCTGAAGTTCCAAACCATACCGGTATTTACAAGGGTAGTTGGATTTTCTTAAGATATTGTCTCGTGTTGATGTCCAAAGTAAACAAAGTTTATCGGGTATCGTTGTAAGTTCAGAAGCGATGTAAATGTTCTTTGATGTTGGTTTTTCTTTGAAGCGCTCAAGTTCAGGTTTTGATCTTCTAGCCAGCCAAAGGATTAGGAATAAAGTGAGAAGCCATATGACATATGAACAGCCATCAACTTTACGATTGAGAACTATCATTTTGTCGATAATTTATCGTAATATGAATTACGCGCGTAAATGACCAGAAACTCCGCGAACTTGCGCGAATAGCGTAATAAAAAGTTCGTTAGGTAATCAAAATAACGTCACCAAACAATGCGACGTTGACGATCACGCGTGCGTAATCTCAACGGAATTTCTTTCAAGAACCTTTGAAAACACCAAAACCACGATATTTCGATACGTTTTTCGTCTAGTAATAATACAGAATCCACACACAAACTTTGGAACAATATAGCCTGTGTTCTTATCTACGATTTTCCAGTAAATTTTACTTCAATCCCGAGTTTTAAACGGTCAAAATGCAAGGATTTTACGTAGCTCCGAGCGTGCGTGTGCACGCGCACGCGCGTATTGCGTATGCGTATACTTATCGCTCATTTCTCGCGATGTCGGCATTTTGCGAATATCTCGGGTCTTTTGTTCAGTGTTAAATGCTTGTTTGCATCCATTATGCAGAGTTTTTCTTCTATGCAGAGATTGCAACGCTTTGCACCAGATGAGTATGCGCCTGCCCGCTTCAGAATTGACCATTTTAGGGTGTAATCTTTATTATTACTCTTTAGCCCCCAGATGTACTTTGACAGCTCTGTATCGTTTTTATATCTTTGGAGTTTGAAGGATTTCTTATGATTTCCATATCGTTCTTTGAAAGTAGTCGCCGTCATTCCTATATACTCTTTCATGACACCGTCGTCGGGTGATGTAACTTGGGCCTTGTAGATTA